TATAACCTCCTCTCTTTGTTCACAGGGGTTGGAGAGTATATTTGCAAGATGAACATGGGACATCACAGGAGGCTCTGGATTTGATGATTGATATGTAATAACTGTTTGTAATTAGATTACGTTGTTCTCCCTTGTTTAAAAAACTTAACATTTTAGGTTTATAGAATATATGTTGGTCTAACAAGGGTGAGGTCCTTAAACTTTCCCTTAACCTGTCCCAAGCCCTAAAAAGGAGGTGGTTTGTGTTAGGTAGCAGCTAACATAAAATTTTGCCAAAACTTTATATGAGTCCTTAGCCGATCCCAAATAGTTGAGAAAAAGACTCTGATAATGATAAGGATTTATAAGATATTTATTAGAATTATTTAATAATTGGGATAAGTCTTGGATGATGAGGATATGAAAAAAATTGGCATATTTCTAAATTAAGCAAGTCATGCATAAATTTGCATTTATCCACAGATGTCATTCTTCTCAAAACTTCTTTCCTATCTCTCGTAATTTTCTTTGCAATTAGATGCCAGTCCTTACTGTCTGTGATGTCTTAAGTTCTTCCCATTTTTTAGAAATGATTAGTACCTTAGGTCTTTGCTTGTTACTAAATGGCTTACACCGACTATTTACATTCTTTGTTTAACATATATCACCTGAATGGGTACAATCTCTCTCTCTCTCTCTCTCTCTCTCTCTCTCTCTCTATTGTTGTGTTCACCTACAATTCATAGTTTGGTAATCAATCTCTGGTGATCTACATTGCTTGACTGCCACACATTTATCATCACCGTTGTCATCATGATGTTGACTAGTTAGTCCTTGTTTTTAGGGGGATAAACAGGTCCGCTGGAAAGGGCCGAGTGGATGCCTATGCTGCAATGGTACGTACTGTATTCTCCCTACATTTGTTAAAAGAGATTGGATGATCATTTAGGTATGTATTTGATAACTAATGTTAATTATATGAATGTGGGTTTTGTGGAAGTAGATGGTGTTGCAAAGATATTTTGCATCTTCAGGATGTGAGTTGAGATTGTTCTTCCAAAGAGTTTGGAACTCCAAGAAAAGCTCAGGAGAGGGCCTCCTAAGGACTTACATTTCTTTGGCAGTGATGAATTTTGTGCAAGAGTTTGATAATTTCTCCCATGGTGGTTTATGAATCGACAGTTGGGATTTCTCAAATGTGAATGGGTAATTGAGATGCATTTGAAATGAGCCTTATGAGAGTTCCCCATCCGCACTCCTTTCTTCGTCGAGATTTTTTTTGTTGAATCATCATTATCGCCCAAGTTTTATCCCAATTAATTGGGGTCGTGTTGTTCAGAATTCATGATAAGATGTGGCAAACCTTTGTTGTATATTATTGCTTATTACCTTTGGCTCAGAGTCTTATGGGACCCCCTTTCTTTCTAATGAATATGTGAAGGGGACCCTCTCTGCCTGTCTATGAACATGTGAGGGATCGTTTTAAGCCCTACATAAAGCGAGAGCTCGAGACAAGTATCTCATGTCTCACACGAGAGATCACAATGAGATGAAAATTGTAGAAATATTGATCGTTCTAGGTCCACGTAGAGAGAGAGAGAGAGAGCACATTGAGACAAGTGTCTCACCCATCTCCTATTGGAAAAAGAAGATAATGAGTTGCAAGCTAGGGCTGGTTGGCCTGGCTCGGCCTAGAAAAAAATAAGGCTTGGGCTACAAGATGTCTCTTGAGTGTTGGGCCATTATGGCCTGAGGACATGGCTAGGTTGGGTGTGGGCCAGGTCCACAACCGGGCTGACCTATCTTGCCTTTTTTTCTTTTTTCTTTTTTTCTCCTTTCATTTATTTTTATTGCATTTGGACTGGCCCACCTCTGCCTCTTCCAAAATGTATAGGGGGCTTGGGCTAAGGCCTCTTCATCCATGTTTGGGTTTGGCATGGCTTATGTTGGCCTTATAGGGACTAGGGTCAGGGATGACTTGGTCCAAGCCTGCCCTATTTAGAACCCTAATATGTACCTCTCACTGAAAAATCTAGGGGCATATCCCTCAATTTTATACGGTAGAACTGTTTTTTTTTTTTTTGGTAAGTTAGTTGGGGAGAAGGCCTTTTACCTATTTTTTATTAATAAGTAAAAATATAAAGTTTACAGCTCATTACTTTACAACTGGGTACATGTGCCAGATTATGAGTTAAAGCAAAGCAAAGCAAATAAAATCTAGCGGACAAGAACGCCAAATAGTAGCTTCTCGACGAGATGTAGCCTCTTTACAAGAATATAGTACAATGTACTTGAAATCTCAAAAAACTCAATGGAAATAAATATGACATCCGACATACACCTTTGGATATTTGGGAAAAAGATTAGTAGGAAATGGCATTGTAGGACTTTTGGATCTATGGGAAAAAGATTAGTAGGAAATGGTATTGTAGGGAAATTGTTTATTTTTGGTATTTGGGTCCAAGATCAAGGCGATGATGATGATGATAATCTAGGATGGAATTTTTTTATATTTGGTAGAAAATCGTTTTCTTTATTTTGAGGCCAAAATAGAAAATCAGATAAATGTATTTCCTTGAATTCGCTGAAGTCTTTTTCCCCATTAGTTTTCCTTCACGGAGCTAAAGCCTTACTTACTTAAAACACACTCACACACACACTTTCTCTCTCAGCGCCCCTTCTCGAGTGGGGCTGTTAACGCAGACCCAACCTGACGAGGTCCAACTTAGACCCAGACCCAACCCGGTTTGGGATAAATATAGTTATATATTGTGATAACTATTAATTTATATATATCATGTACTTATTATATAAATGTTGGGTCGGGTTGGGTTGACCTTGCCTTGGACTCGATCCCATAGGGACCGAGTTGAACATGGCTCGACCCTAGCCCGATCAAAGTTTAGTAGATCTAGACCCCACCTGCCAGATCCATTATCTAGGTCTAGACCTAGACCTGGTCGGGTCAACTGATGGGGTAACAGGTCAACCATTTCCCACCCCTAGTCTCATATTCCTAGAGCTTAAGTTTAGTAGGGTTATGCTTGATGATCTTTTTACCACTAATTTAGGTGAAAATTTCAATCGGTTTTAAGGGCCAATGTATCTAAGTTTATGGAAGGGTGCATCAAAATGGTTAACAATTGAAAATATATTTTCTAGAAAATCAATTTTGCAAGAAATGTATTTTATAGAAAATAGATTTTTTCGGACCTCCTGATTTCTCAGTGGTGTGGGGGAAAATTATGTAACCACTTCCATTAACCTTAGGTCATAAATACAATACTCTATGATTTATTCATTCATTTTCTCATTTTCATTTTTTGTACAGCTCTATAATATGAAGTTTGCACAAATTTTGTATAACTAAATTTAATAGGGATGTAGTTGCTTCTGTTTGGTTTAAAGAAATAATCTTAGAATTTAATGGGTAGTTCGGGTCCTTATATATACAAAAACTGTTTTAACATATATCCAAGATCTACGATAAGCTAGGCTGTTTGGACGCATTTTGAGGCCCCAAATCCTGGTTTTGCATATCCCCATTAGGTCCCAAATAGGAGTGGCAATGGGTAAGGTTCGATTGGACATGGATTTAGACCCGAATAGTATTCAGGTCCAACTTTTAGATCCGGACCCGACCTTTTCGGGTCCAAACTTTGGACCCATACCCAGACTTGAGGTCCGGTCTACCCGTTGGGTCCTGGGTCTGATCGGGTCCATTGCCACCTCTAGTCCCAAATTGTGCATACACTCCATTCGAGCTAAAAGATCTAGAATGAGTTCTTCCATCCCTTATGCCAAACATACCCATGGTTTCCTAAACTAGGCTATACAAAGTTACAAAGTATGTAAGCGTCATATTACAAATTATACATATAAAATACAAACGAGAAAGTGAATTAATAAAGGTTGTGGGTTGTATAGGGTTGCAACCTTAAAAAATCAAAGTAAATGCATCTCCAAATTGTCATGAGATACAATTTTGGTATCGAAAATTTTTAGGATGGTGCAAGAATCTATTTCTATCTCTAATCATAAAATTATAAACTAAAAAAGGGTCCAAATCAAGCATATGTACAAACACATGAAAATCTTAAAAATAGATGGTTCAAATAATGTGTGGTAAGATGCACTATTTTTAGGATTTGAAATCTCTTTTTTGTCTCCTTAGCTATCAACTTGATGTTGAGATGATCAATTAGATATGTTTTCAATATCAAAATAGACTTTTTCAAAGGATTTTAAAGGTGCACCTTAATTCTACATTTAGTTCTATATTTTAAGTGCCAACATTATATAAACTTTTTCTATCAATAAATTTTGGAAAAAAATTTCATGCGGCAGGGACCACATTTCTACATTTGTGGTCCCCCGGATATAAAGCATTCACCTTCAAGATGGACGCAAATAGGTGGTCCTTCTGAAAACAATTGAAACTAATGGTCCAAATAGTTTTCTTAATAGAACTACTATTTTTAATTTTCAAAATTTATTTATTTTTTCATATTCATGATTTCCATATTACAGATTACATGCCTGTCCTAAAAAATTAGGCTAAGAAATCCATCTCAAAAATAGATATTTAAGAGGTGACTCATTTCTACATAGACTCGTAGAAATTGTGTCCATAAATTTTATAGCACAATTTATTTTCTAAAATTAGTGGAAAATGCTTAAGTTCCACTCGTCTTTAAGAAATGAAGAGCATATCATCTCAAGGGGTGACAATGGACCCAGACTTAAGGGGTAGACTCAATCTAGGTCCAGGTACGGATCTAAAAATTGTACTCAGAGGGTTGGGTCTAGGTCCAAATCTTGGACCCAAATATTTTATGGGTCCAAAAATTATACCTGGTAGGTCTGGTTCCGGGTAGAGCAATACTTTTCGGGTCTCAATATCTGAAATATATTTAAATATAGTTAAATACATTTTGATTTTTGGTTGGGTTTAGGTCCCACCGTCCCACACTACATTTTTTGGTTCGAGTCCGGGTCCGGGTCGGGGTCCGTAACCCGTTGCCATCGTTACAGACATCTGAAATATCAAATAAGAAGGAAGAAGCGTTACGCTGAATTAATGGCGAGTAGCAGCAGCGCAGTGGCAAGAGAGGGTTAAGCGGTAACCCCGATTGCTATCTTTCCTCGTCTGTCTATCCCGTTTTCCATTTTCGCCGTTGTTCCCATCCTCGTCTGTAGCACTACCATCGTGTTTTTCTATATTTATTTTCTACATCGTATTGACTATGTACTCTGCAGATAAAGCCTTCTGTTGTTGATCATTACGGTTTGAGGCTTGTGGTCTCCATTTCAACAGAGGTGTCTTGATTCATTCTGATTTCAGCAGGTATTTCTCCATTGCATTAGGTATTTCTCCATTGCATTTTCTTTACTATAGTGCTTTTTGTTTTCCGAGTTCTTCCATTCTTGCAAATGGGGGTTGGTTTTTCCTGGTGTTTTCTCCTAATGGATTCTTACAACCTAATTTAAAAAATATAAGTTGAAAGGGATTTAATAGAAGGGATTTTGGGGGCATTTCGGAGCTTGAATCTTCATCTCAAGCTCCATCTCCACGAGAGAGAGAGCAAATGAGCCCTGGTTTTCCTGTGTTTTTTGTGTGTAAAAATAATTCTTCTCAGGCTCCTTCTCTTCTTCACGATTTTTAGCTAACTAGAGAGAGAGGGAGAGCAAGGGAATGCGAATTTTTGTGGGTTTGCATCTTTGTTTTTTTTTTTTTGTGACATTTGTTTCCCTGAATCTGATGTTATGGCCAGTGTGCATTAATTAATGTGGCATTTTTGTTTATATATTTTTGTGGATTTCTATATTTTGGATCACTCTGGAAATCTGATTTTTTTGGTTGGGTGTTTTCCATTGTTCGCTTTATCCTTTCTCAATGTGGAGTTATTTTTTATTCTTGATAATATGGTTGTTTGATTGTATGGAATCGTTTATTCTTGTTTGATTGTATGATGCACGCAAGCACCTTGAGGTTGATGGGCTTATGTATGCAAATCTAATTGCCCTTGTTTGATTGTTTGAAATCTGATTGTTATTGTTTGATTGTATGATGCCTGCAACACCTTGAGGTTTATTGTATGATGCATGCAAATCTATTGTTCTGGTTTTATTGTATGATGCATGCAATCGTTTGATTGGATTTTTTGTTTGATGGAGTTGGTTGTGCTTGCCTCTGGACACTGCATCTATGATATAGCATGCTCAATTATTATTCCTTGCTATCATGTCATACTCAATTAAAGCCAGGGGTGGGAAATATTATGGACTGTCTAATGCAGTGAAAAGGGGGATCTGCACATAGTGCAGTGTGGAGTCCATCTTAGGTAATATCTTGTTTAGCAAATGTTTACTAGAGGTTTTTAGGCTTTTGAAGGCAATCAAATACCAATTTAACTCAAAGATGTCTTCATGTTAAATAACATATGTCTCTATGTTAATGAAACTGATGCAATATGAAAGACAAACTTTCCGATGATGCTCCCATCGGATAGCTTGAATAGCGTATCATACCGTTGAGTATGCGCACATCACATTTTGTTTCTCTTATCTTTTATCTATAGGATCACTACTGGATCGAAAAGAGGAATGGTACAAAGATGATGTGATTCTCCAAACATAACCCTCACAAAAAACTCTTTTTTTCTTCCTTCCTTTTGTTATTTGTTAAATATAAAATAAAAATGTGTCTTCATGTTAAACTGATGCAATTAATGAAACTGATGCAAATATGAAAGACAAACTTTCCGATGATGCTCCCATCTCCCATCATCAGATGGCTTAAATATGGTATACTGTGTAGCATTATATATGTTCCTGCTAAATTGTTGTGAGAAATATGCACAAAATAATTATTAGCATTTACAAAAATAAGCAATACATGGTCCATGAAGATACTATTTATTAATTCTAGTTCTTTGTAGTTTTTTACTATATATAAAAAGTCAACATATTTCTCAAAAAAAAAATAAAATTCCTGTGGTGTGGCCCTAACCAAGACCTTGTATTGTAGATACTGTGTGGCTATTTTGACGGTGTTTGGCTGGTTTTCAGTTTTTCAATGCCAATTCAAGTTCTTGAAGGTAGTTTTAGAGAGAGAAAGTGAAAACCAATAGAATATTGAGTTTCTCCTATATTTTCAATTCTTGACTCTTCTACATGACCTTGGGATTGAGTCTCAAGAACCCATGGGCTAACCACTGTCATTCTCATAAGGAATCCAAGTTTTTGGCAGCAAAATTAGTAAAAGCTGCAGTAAAATATATTTTACAGGTTTAAACTAAAAATTATAAAAGAATCTGAAAAATAAGTACTATTTGCTTTGTTTTTGTTCCCTCTACATTTGAATTGCCAATTAAAATGCTGCTTCTGTATTGGCACATTGTCACTCTGAAATTTGATAAGTGTTCAAAGATGGTGAATGCCGCTTTTCTTCCATGGTGTGCTCACTGAAAATTTGATTGTATATTCTGTTTTTTTTTTCTTTTTTCCTTTCTGCTTTGGATAATTATGGTTTTGGTTACTCGTATGCTTTAAGAGAGTGCAAGTCCACTATGTCGTGAGCCGCTTTCTTGGTCGAAATCGGTATCATGTATTAGAACCTTTTCCTTTATAGGATCCTAATGATTGTAGAATCTACACCATGCTCCTTTTATCACTTTTTTTATTTTTTATTTTTATATTTATGGCTGTTTTTTGGATGTTTAATATGTTCTTTCCATAAGGGACTGTAGAAGACATGCATAATATGCTATAGTAAGTTTTAAAGCTCTTTCTATTGAAAACGATATTGTTGTATATTGCAATGTGCTGTATATTGCAATAATGTTGTATATTTTTCAAATCAAAGAAGAAGTGATACATAGAAAACAATGAAATAATGTTGGATCGTGCATTGTTGCTGTATAATCAATAGTGTGGACGTGCAATAGAGAGTGTGTGTGAGAGAGACAGTGTATTTGTGTGTATCCAAATTCGATCTTAAAATGATCTAAGAAATAAGATCTGAACCTTCTAATTTGTTTATCATATTGTAGATGCCTTATTTCCAGGAAATCATTTTTATTGTCCATATACTATATGCAATAATTAACCTATGAAATGGACAGCTAACAAGTTTAACTGCAAATTGCCAAAACCTGGTTTTCAACTTAGTAGAGCCAATCATGGGATTTGTTATATATTGGGTTCTTCGAAAAGCTATCCAAATAGATTGTAGCTAAACCAGGTTTTACATATACTAGAATCTGCATACCTAGGTTTTGAGGCATATCCAGGATTTACGTATCGGAAACCCTGAATGACTCAATTATGAGTTCACCTTTTTGAAGAGATAAATTGTCTTGGGCACAGTGCAGTGTATTAGTGCTAATTGATTTTGAGTTTCGATTGATGTGGTTTTATGCGTTTTTAGGCAAGTTATCTTATTGGTCTGGTAATATTTCATTTTGTGGGCTATTTATGGGATTTTAAAGCATTTTGTGAAATACTCATTTGGGATCTGCTCTGTATTTAAAAAAATGTAATTTTATTTTTAGACAGAATTTTGTACTGTTTTAATCTTTTTGCTTACAAGCTTGGAATATAAAACTGGAACTGTTCGGGCTTTATATAAAAGGCTTTGGAAATGCTGGTTGTTGAAATCATCACTTATCATTTTTTTTGACTTGTTGATGGGTAGTAGGTAGCAATGGAACCTGTGACCTCATTTTATTTAGGGCACTTTTAAGTAGCTTCAAGAGTACACAGTTGGAAAGGGCTTATTTTATGGGTAGTTTGTAAGAAATTTGGAATTATTGAAAGCAAATTACTCACAGAATTCAGCTTTGTTTTGTTGGGAACTAAAGTTGATTTGGGATTTATGGGTTTCAATTATGAATAATAAATCATTTATGAAAAGTGATTAAAAATTTGGTTCGGTGAACCATTGGCTTCCCTGTCCATATGTTTGAAATATATCTTTAAAGAGCAAACATTCTCCTAGTCAGTTCCCCACTTATTCTCCTCTTACTTTTGCACCCCATGGAATAGCTCAGGGAAACTTTTAGGGCGTGTTTGATAACAGTGGGAACTTGCCAATACTGTTCATGTTTTGTGTTTGATAAAAAAAAGGAAGTTCAAATGGGAACTTCACCGTACTGTTCATCTTCCTATCTTGGTGTGTAAAAAAGTTCCGACCAAAATGTCGGAACTTAAAATTGGAAGTTCAATAAGAACTTCACCCCCGATATTTCTTGCCCTCATCACACCAACGATGCCGTCATCGTTCTTGCCCTAATCGCACCAACGAAGCTGCTTCTTCCTCTCCTCAGGTCTCTTGCCCCCAACGAAGTTGCCTACTCCTCTCCTCAGGTCTCTTGCCCTCAATGCTCGCTCAACCAACTCATCCTCTCCTCCTCTCCCAGGTCTCTTGCCCTCATCTCCGCCATTGCTGCAAACTTGGAGCTCAGAGAAAGCTATAGTGAGTTATTTTTTTCCATATTTTTTTTTTTTAGAGCTCAAAGAAGATGACCCCAGATCTTTGAATTTATTTCTGATTTAGGTTTCTTTTTAATCTTTCTTTATAAGCTCAAAGATGATTAATCCCAAATCTAGAGAGAGCATTTTAAGTTGGTTTTATTTTTCTTTTTTTCTTTGTGCTCAACGAAGAAAAAACCCATATTTACAGAGTGTATCACCTCCTCTCCGCAGGTCTCTTGCCCTCATCGCCCCATTGCTGCAAGCTTAGAGCTCAGAGAAAACTATGGTGAGTTGTATTTTTCCTATTTTTATATTTTTTAGGGCTCAAAGAAGATGACCCCAGATCTTTACCAATTTTTGATTAATCCCAAGTCTATAGATAGCATTTTTAGTTGATTTTCTTTTTTCTTTTCTTTTTTTCCTTTCTGCTCAAAGAAGAAAACCCTCATATTTACAGAGTGTATTTTTTTTATTTAGGCTTCATTTTTTTGTTTAAGCTCAACAAAAGAACAACCCAAACATACAATAAGTTTTCCTTTTTCTATTTTTTTTTTCTGTTTAATCTCACTTAAGAAGAGAAGCTCGTATACCATTTTTCACTGGTTCCTTGCTGGTTTTACTATTTTTTCTATTGTTGTTACATTGCTGGTTCCTCATTGTTATGCGATGTGATCTCAAAGAAGAGTAGCCTGTTAAATGGTTTATTTTGTAATTTTTTTTTGGTTATTTCACAAGGAGGGAATCATTTGAAAATCCAACAATGTCTTCAACAAAATAATGTTAAAAGTTAACATTTCTTTTTGATCAATACAATGAGAATTTCTTCATTATTAGACTTTGAATCCTCCATACTTTCATCAATAAAAATGCTAGGCATATCCTCAATTATCTCAACTTTTTTAGCAGATTGATCTATAAATACATCTACTCGTTTCTACGAAGATTTATCAAGAGGCCGGCATTTCCACATATGCGGGGTTGGCGCATAGAAACCGGGTCCTTGTGTTCCTCAGCAAATCGCACCGAAAATTTCTTGTAGAGTTTAGAAATTAGTAGAGTCACAAATAAAAACACTGATTTTTCAAGCGTCCCCTTGAGCTCGATAAAATTTTGTTAGAGAAAAGCTGAATATTATTCTGTCAGAGAGAGAGAGAGAGCTCTGGTTAATAGGATGGTAGGCATTTCAGGGATGGGATCAAAAGGGGGAACGTCTCCAGCTAATTTGAGATGCCCCCACTGTGCAGGTCCTCTCACTAAAGACCTGGTATGCTTCTTCTTCAACCTGTAGTGGTTTAAATTCATCCATTAAAATACCCTCTCGCTCCATATATATATCTTATATTTTTGGGTTCTTCTCAAGTTTGAGTCATGTTTGTTTTTAGTTCTCGATCAACCTCGGTCATTAAAAAAAGACCCAACTTTTATTTCTTTTGAATTTCTATCAGCACTTTCAATTGGTTGCAGGAATCTAGCACTTGGACTATGGCCCCCTTCATTAGAGATAGTTTTTCGATGGTAAGTTATTCCTCTCCTGTTTCTTAAAACTTTTTTAACACTGTGTTTACCAGAGAATAATATATAGAACACATCTAAGAATTTTCTCTCTGGGATGGGTTCTGTGGAAATACTAGGCTATCCTTTCTTTGGAGAAATTGGGCTTGGTCTTTCTCTCTGCTTAGTAAACTTCTCATTTGATTGGAAATTGGGAATGTCACATACAAAAAAAAAACATGGTTATTTGTGGAAAGCTCTGTGGTTTTTCTTTGGAGAGAATATTGAATTGAGTTTTGATATATTTCTATGCATGTTTTTGATAGATTGGTACAGCTGTTGGAGGGACTGCAAGTGCATTCTATGGGTTCAATCATGGTACTCCTCTCTTTCTCAAACTTATCTCATTCACATATTTGTCTCTCAATGGCCATGAAATATTCTACTTGTGGGCTCTATTAGTGTTTGATTTGGTGGAATTGAATCTAGATATGTGAACTATATCACTCCATTTTTGTTGTGTAATTTAGTCTAGATGACTTGTCTATCTTTTATTAATTCATACCAAATTAAAGTTGGTTCTTTATACTATGCTTCAGTAACATGATCTTTTAGATGGCTGGCCATGTTAACTGGATATGCTTGGGGAAGTTGCAGATGATGTTATAGCCTCTGTCTCTCTCAGCGACACACACACAACCACTGGAGTGGCTTCTTTGTGATGTGCTTGAATGACTTGATGTTATATAGTTATTCAAATAAATGGGATAAAAATTTCTTTGTTTTTCTTTTTTCTTTTTGAATAAATAAAAAGGAAAGTTAAGAAAAGGGAATTAAGGGAAAGAACTTCTATTGTTTTTTATTAAATAAAAATAAAGCATGCGACAAAACTTGGCAATAGAATAGAAATTGATCAAAACTTAGAAGAATATAAAAATGCCAAGAAGAATGCTGTGAAAGTAGTAAGTAAAGCTAAGCTCAAGGCATATGATAATCAATGCTTCAAATTGGGGACAATAGAAGGTGGAAAAAATATCTTCAAACTAGCAAAAATGAGAGAGAGGAAGTGTAAAGATCCATATCATGTTAAATGTATTAAGAGTGAGGATCAGAGGGTCTTGGTAAGAGATAATGAGGACAATGAAAGGTAGGAAATTTATTTTCAAAAATTGCTTAATGACAACCACAATGGGCGCACAACATTAGGAAGAACCTTTGATATAGATGAGGTCGAAGATCATCGACACATTCTTAAGTTTAGGATATCTGAAGTGAAAGAATGATGCATATTGCATCCAAAATATTGATTTATTTATTTTTTATTTATTGTTGGGACTGAATTTTAGGGATATTCATATAGGGGTAGCTTTTTTATTGAAGAAAGTAGATATTTATAAAGAGGCCGGCATTTCTACATACGCGGGGTTGGCGCATAGAAACCGGGTTCCTGTGTGCCTCGGCAAATCGCACCCGAAATTTCTTGTAGAGTTTATAAATTAGTAGAGTCACAAATTAAAACACCAATTTTCCAAGCGTCCCTTTGAGCTCAATTAAACTTTGTTAGAGAAAAGCTCAATAAAATTCTGTTAGAGAGAGAGAGAGCTCTGGTTAATGGGATGGCAGGCATTTCAGAGATGAGATAAAAAAGGGGAACGTCTCCAGCTAATTTGAGATGCCTCCACTGTGCAGGTCCTCTCTTGAAAGACTTGGTATGCTTCTTTAACCTTTAGTGGTTTAAACTCATCCATTAAAATGCCCTCTCTTCATATATATATATATCTTTTTTTTTTGGGTTCTTCTCATATTTGGGTCATGTTTGTTTTTAGTTCTCTTCTGAATACTGGATCAACCTCAGTCCTTAAAAAAAGACCTAACTTTTATTTCTTTTGAATTTCTATCACCGCTTTCAATTGGTTGTAGGAATCTAGCACTTGGATTGTGGCTCCCTTCATTAGAGATAGTTTTTCGATGGAAAGTTATTCCTTTTTTGTTTCTTAAACCTTTTTTAAGACTGTGTTTATCAAAGAATAATATATAGAACGCATCTCATAATTTTCTCTCCGGGATGGGTTTTATGGAAATATTAGGCTATCCTTTCTTTGGAGAAATTGGATTTGGTCTTTCTTTTTGCTTAGTAAAATTCTCATTTGATTGGAAATTGAGAATGTCGCATATAAAAAAAAACATGGTTATTTGTGGAAAGCTCTGTGGTTTTTCTTTGGAGAGAATATTGAATTGAGTTTTGATGTTATGTCTATGCATGTTTTTGGTAGATTGGTATTGTTGTTGGAGGGATTGCAAGTGCATTCTATGGGTTCAATCATGGTACTCCTCTCTTTCTCAAACTTATCTCATTCACATATTTGTCTCTCAATGGTCATGAAGTGTTGTACTTGTGGGCTTTATTAGCGTTTGATTATGTGGAATTGAATCCAGTTATGTGAACTATATCACTCCATTTTTGTTGTGTAATTTAGTCTAGATGACTTGTCTATCTTTCATTAATTCATACCAAATTAAAGAAGTTGGTTCTTTGTACTATGCTTCAATAACATGATCTTTTAAATGGCTGGCCATGTTAACTGGATATGCTTGGGGAAGTTGCAGATGATGTTATAGCCTCTCTCTCTCACCCACACACACACAACCACTGGAATTGCTTCTTTGTGATGTGCTTGAATGACTCGATGTTATATAGTTATTCAAATAAATGGGATAAAGCTTTCTTTCTCTTTCTTGTTTTTTTGAATAAATAGAAAGGAAAGCTAAGAAAAGGGAATTAAGGGAAAGAACTTCTATTGTTTTTTATTAAATAAAAATAGATCATGTTACAAAGCTTGGCAATAGAACAGAAATTGATCAAAACTTAGAAGAATATAAAAATGCCAAGAAGAATGATGTGAAAGTAGTAAGTAAAGCTGAGCTCAAGGTATATGATAATCTATGCATCAAATTAGGGACAATAGAAGGTGAAAAAAATGTTTTCAAACTAGCAAAAATGAGAAAGAGGAAGTTTAGGGATCCATATCATGTTAAATGCATTAAGAGTGAGGATCAGAGGGTCTAGGTAAAAGATAACGAGGTCAATGAAAGGGGCGGAAAATTTATTTTCAAAAATTGCTAAATGACGACCACAATGGGAGCGCAACATTAGGAAGAGCCTTTGATATAGATAAGGTCGAAGGTCATCGACACATTCTTAAGTTTAGGGTATCTGAATTGAATAAATGATGCAAAGCACTTCCAAAATATTGATTTATTTATTTATTATTTATCGATGGGACTGAATTTTAGGGATATTCATATAGGGGTAGCATTTTTATTAATGAAAGTATAGCTTTATCTAGAGGCCGGCATTTCTACATACGAGGGGTTGGCGCATAGAAATCGGATCCTTGTGTGCCTCGGCAAATCGCATCGGAAATTTCTCGTAGAGTTTAGAAATTAGTAGTCACAAATAAAAACATTGATTTTTCAAGCGTCCCTTTGAACTCGATAAAAGTTTGTTCGAGAAAAAGCTCAATAAAATTCTATTAGAGAGAGAGAGGTCTGGTTAATGGGGGTGGTAGGTATTTTAGAGACGGTTAACTCTCCTCTGAATATTGGGTCAACCTCAGTCATTAAAAAAATACCTAACTTTTATTTCTTTTGAATTTCTATCACTGCTTTCAATTGGTTGTAGGAATCTAGTACTTGGACTGTGGCTCCTTTCATTAGAGATAGTTTTTTTATGGTAAGTTATTCCTTTCCTGTTTTTTAAACCTTTTTTAACACTGTGTTTATTAGAGAGTAATATATATAACGCATCTCAGAATTTTTTCTCTGGGATGGGTTCTGTGGAAATACTAGGCTATCCTTCTCAACAATATTTAGGATGGATTTCCTAGTTTGTAGGATTCCATGATCCTATGTTGGTACGATTGTTAGATAATTAGAATGATGGGAGGGGGTTGATCACTTGAGGGGTAGAGAGATTTCCATTTGCTTGATTTAGAGAGATTTTTGTGGGATATGGATTGGGAGTTAGAGATTTATGGGAGTGAAGATTTAAGGAATGATTTGATGGGGGAGAGATTCATGTGAAAAGGAGATGAGCTAGAAAGAGAAAATTGTGGAAAGAGGAAGAGAGGATATACGTGGTGGAGAGAGAGATTGGTGTGAGAGAGAGAAAGTCTCTCTTTTTAGGTTTATTTATTTATTTTTAATTGGCTTGTATTTAAGGTGGAACTTTTCCCTTTGAAAAGAGACTGGAATATTTTTGTAGAGAATTTGTTTATGAATGAAGAAAGATAACATCTTCTTCTCCATGGCTTGCTTTACAGCCATATTTTTCCCTCCATTATTGTTGAATTTTTGTTTGTTTAAGATCAAAAGAAGGTCAAATTTAATTTCCCGGACTCCTTGTGCATCATTTGGTATCAGAGCATGGTTCGAAAAGGGTTAACGACTACGATGGATGGTCGTGGAGGTCGCAATAGTAGGAATGCCGAGCATGATCAATACACAGGAAAATATACAAATTGATGGAGATGGTTGAAAAGTTGTTGCAAAAAGAAAGATTGCAACAACGCACATCAAACAAGATGAGATCTATGGTGTTAGATCCATATTATGCGAGTTCTGGTGGAGATTGGCATAGATCAAAGTGTGAGTCTGAGTGGGAACAGCCTGATGTTATGCTTGTTCACACTTATGGGTTCAATGCACGACAACATCGATGGGAGCATGAATGCAAAGAAAAGTTGGGTGACCGACAACCCTAAAGCCGATGTCATTGGCATAGGGGAGTAGACCAAAATCAATGTCGAGACGAGCAAAGAAAGAATTTTCCTACATCTAGATCGACCAATAGAGTTGGATCATCCTACGCTAGGAGACTGACGCTTCCAACTCGAGGAGTTGTTGTCCCTACAACAAAACTTGAGCATTACACAAGCAAAAAGAGAATGGTATGTGATTGCTTGGTAAATCAAAATCCTAAGTTTTCCACTACAGAGGTTCATGCGTTGAAAGACACAAAGGGTCCTAAATTAATTAGACACGAGTAGATGTATTTATAGATCAATCTGATGAAAAAGCAGAGATAATTGAGGATAGCATTTTTATTGATGAAAGTATGGAGGATTTTAAGTCAAATAATGAAGAAATTCTACATTGTATTGATTAGAAGGAAATGTTAACTTTTAACATTATTTTGTTGAAGACAATGTTGGATTTTCAAATGATTCCCTCCTTGTGGACATGAAAGAGCAACCCTTGACTACAATGAAATGGGATTTGAGATTGGATGAGAAAACCAAGATAGTGGTTTTTTACTGAAGCAATTGTCGATGGTTAGACTTGAACTATCTTTGTTGCCATGAAGTGATGAGACTCCA